ATCAACGTAACTGTTTCCTGAATCTTTCCAAAGCGCCATTTCTGGTACGCTGATCATGGGATGCCGTGAAACTCCTGCACATTTTTACAGCGAGTGTGCGCGGCGCAGATGCGAGAGCCACATTTTGAAAAGTAGCCGCCTTTCAATCCGTGAAGATCTTGTATGTTTAAACGAATGGACGCGGCGCTAAGCCGAGAGCCACATTCTGAAAGCGGCCCGCCCTCAATCCGTGAAGCTCTTGCAAATGTTTCAATCGAATGTTCGCGGCGCTAAGGCGAGAGTCACATTTTGAAAACGGCCCGCCCTTAATCCGTGAACCTCTTGTACATATTGAGACGAATGTGTGCGGCCTTCAGGCCAGAGCCACATTTTGGAAACCACCCGCCCTTCATCTGTGAAACTGTTGTCACGTTTTAAGCTGCAGCGTCATGTCTTGTGAAGAAGTCTCGGGTGAAACGCCTGGCCCGCCCTAAGAATTGGCCTCGGGGTGCGACAGGGAGAAGTTATAAGGAAAAGGGATGGAGGAGGAGGAGGAGAAGGAGGAGGAGGAGGAGGACTAGGAGGACTAGGAGGAGGAGGAGGAGGAGGAGGAGGAGGAGGACTAGGAGGAGGAGGAGGAGGAGGAGGAGGAGGAGGAGGAGGAGGAGGAGAAGGCCAGTCATCCCCTCTCCTTTCTCGCCCGTGTCCTTCTCTTCCTCGTCCCCGCGCCGAGGGCAGGGGGCGCGAGGGGCGGAGCGAGGGGGGGGAGGGGGAAGGCGTGGCGGAGCGAGGGACGCTCCCGCGAGCGCAGCGGCGGCGGCGCGCGCCGGCGCCGAGGGCGGCAGTCCGCACCCCTGGCGCGTGGCGGTCGGGGACGGGCGGGGCCCTCCTCGCCGTCGTCGCTCGTGGCTCGTCGCTCGTCTTCGTCAACGTGGCTCCTCGTCGCTCGTCGTTCGTCGTCGTCGGCGTCGTCGTCGTCGTCGTCGTCGTCGTCGTCGTTGTCGTCGTCGTCGTCGTCGTCGTCGTCGTCGTCGTCGTTGTTCGGTTTCATCATGGTCGACGTTGTCACCACGGTCTTCTTCTTTTTCCTTCTCCTCCCTCCGCCTTCGCTTTCGCCTTCTCCTCGTCATTCTCCTCCTCGTCCCTCTTGCCGTCTCCTCCCACATTCTTCTCCTGTTCATCCGTCACCCGACACCTCCTTCCTCGCTGACTCCTCCTCCCTGTCGTCCTCTCCTTAATCTCCCCTCCCTTCTCCCTGTTCCCTATTCCCTTTCCCTCTTCACGACGTCGAGGTGCACGCCGCTCGGAGCAGCACATCGGGACCCAACAGCGGGCTCCAGCAACTCGACGCTCAGTAGCAGCAAGACTTCCACTTCCGCACGTGCGACGACCAGCACGACACGCACCACGTCACTGGTCGGCACGGCTGGGACCAACACCACGACGATAAGCAACTCCCCACGCTCTGAGCAGCACTTATGGGGCCCAGCGGCACGGTGGTGAGTAGCCTTCCATCCTCCGCGCCCACGAGTTGAATGCGCAGACTGACGTGCGCCATATGAGGCGTTCCAAAGAGGGCCTCGCCTTCGAGGATCGAAGGAATTGTCATCTCTCCCTCGGCGGAAGGCGGCGGAAGGTTGGCGGAGGGCGGCGGAAGTAAAACGGCGGCGGCTCCGCCGGCGGAAGCCGGCGGAAGCAAAAGTCGACCTCCCACGAGATGAAAACGTTTTTGGGTTCAGGGTTTCCGAAATTCGCCACATGCCGATCGCGAGGCCAAGCGGGGACTAGCAGCACGTCGCCGAGCAGCACGCCGCTTGGAGCAGCACGGCGGGGCCCAGCACAGCACAAACCCAGAGATCCGATGTCGTGATTTTTTCAATGCGGGGTCCCTGGAAGTCTCGACCCATTCCCCAGGACTGGTTTTTCGTCCCGAGTAGTTTTTGGAAGTTTCCTGGGCCCGGCGAGGGCCCCTAGAGGCCGAAAGCTGCGAAAAACCTCCGTCTTGATTTTTTTCAATGCGTTGGATATCTGGGAATCTTCCCCCTGTAGCGTAGACGGACGTGCCCGACCTGCGACAAATCCCGCGACGGCTCCCCGCTCGCGCCCTCGCCAGGGGCGAGGGCAGCCGCGCCCCTGCGCCGCCGTCCTCTTCTCCCTTGCGCGCGGCGGCGCCCCGCATTGCCTTGGAGGAGGAGGAGGAGGAGGAGGAGGAGGGGGAGGAGGAGGAGGAGGAGGAGGAGGAGGAGGAGGAGGAGGAGGAGGAGGAGGAGGGGGGGGGAGGAGGAGGAGGGGAGGAGAGGAGGAGGAGGAGGAGGAGGAGGAGGTGGAGGAGGAGGAGGAGGGGGAGGAGGAGGAGGAGGAGGAGGTGGAGGAGGAGGAGGAGGAGGAGGAGGAGGAAGTGGAGGAAGAGGAGGAGGCCGAAAGCTGCGAAAACCCTCCGTCTTGATTTTTCCAATGCACGCTGGATATCTGGGACTGCGCTGCGGCAGCGCGAGCCCCTCGCGCGCTGCCCTGGGCGACGGCGGGGATCGGCCGCGCGACGCTCGGAGCCGCAGCTCGCGCCGTGCAGTTTTCGTCGTCCCCCTCCTCCTCCTCCTCCTCCTCCTCCTCCTCCTCCTCCCAGCGATTCTTAGCCATTTCGCGCCGAGCCCACCTTTGGCCTGCAGAGAGGCGGAGCGCGGCGCCAGCGGGCGCCAACTTCGAAGTGGCACTGCGCTCGCGAACTGGATGGTCTCCCACACTCGTTGGCGCAATGGGTGGACCTGCTCATCATGCAAGGTCAAAACCGGAACTGGATACGACTACTGCTGGAAGTGCTGGGGCACCAAGGGCGGCGCGAAACCCACTAGTGGCGGGAGCAGCAGTGGGACCGACCACACGTAGAGCGTGGACGCTGCCAAAACCAAGCTCCGCAAGCTCAGAGGCCACCTCCAAGAGTTGCGGAAACAGGCGGAGGACCCCGACCTCGGCCCCCTGGTGGCGGGCAGCATCGTCGTGCTGCAACAGCAGGTGCAAGTGGACCAGCTGCAGGAGACTGTCGACGCTGACAGTGCTGCACTGCGTCTCGGAGTGCAAAGTGGTGCGGGAGAGGGACAAGTGCGAGAACCTGCGAGACCACACCAGGGAGCGCGTCGAGAAGCACGAGAGGGATGTCATCGAGGCCCAGAATGAGTTCGAGAAAGTCAGGGCTGCTGCTCTGGCCAAGTGTGAGGACGGGCCGGGCAAGCTCCAGCAGCGCAGCGACGAGCCCAGTGTGCCCAAACCTGGGCAAGGATGGGGAGCAGCGGTCGCCTTCCTTGAGCAGGTCGCCAAGTGCCCGCGCGACAAGGGCGCCGACCCCAAGCTACAGGAGGCGTTGCAGCACGCGCAGGACCAGAAGAAAATTGAGGAGGAACGATCAGCGAAAGAGACGGCAGAGGCTGAGGCGACGGCGGCAGCAGCGGCCGCCCAGGCCAAGGCTGACATGGAGTTCGACAGCCAGCACCGCCGGTCCAAGCGCAGGGCCGACGCAGAGGTCAATGGGGGAGTTGCTTGAGTTCCCGCGGGGGGCAGCGATAAGGACATGCGCAAGATCATGGATATCGGGGTTGCACCGCCGAGCAGATGGACAGGCGCGGGCCCCTTCTGCTTCCTCTTCCCTCTTCTTGCTGCTCTGTCCCTTGGCCACGCCCTCGACTTCGACAAGAGGACGTGGGCGGCGCCGCCGCGTTCCTGACGAGCGCAAGGCCTGGCAGGTGTTCTTCGCGGTGAATGTGAACTCCATCGGCGCGCTCGAGAGGGTGCCCAGCCATATAAGGTCTACGAGTTGTGCGCCAGTGGTGATGGCGCAGGAGTTGCGGGCCAGCCCGCGCACCATCTCCTGCTTCGCCGCTCATGCAGGAGACAGGCTGGCGCGTGGGCATTGCGCCCAGCGTCGGGGCCAAGGGCGGCTGGAGCGCGGGGGCCCTCCACGCTACTGTGCCGTCCGTGGGGATCACCAACGGCAAGGGCCAGTGGGGCATCTCGCCACCGGAGTCCAAGGGCCGCTTGGCGAGCGGCGCGCTCGCGGCCATCAGCAAGCAGGGCGTCGCCGTCGTCGGCTCCGCGCGCCTGTGGGTCAGCGAGGGCATGGCGGTCAGGAACAAGGCCATCCTGAGGAACTCCACCAGCGCCGCGCGCGCAGCGGGCCGCGAGTCGGTCCTCGGTGGCGACTTCAACATGGGCCCGACAGATCTCCAGGAGGCAGGTGTGCTCAACGGGATGGGAGGGATCACGGTGTTCGACGCGCACATGGGATCATGCACTACGATGGGGGTAAGTCGCAACAGGGACTACTTCATCATATCTAAGGCACCGGCAGGCAGTGCCATCGCAGCGAAGGTGCAGGACCAGTACAACGCGGCGCCGTGCGCGCCCGTCCTCCTCCGCGTGCCAGGTCAGCTGGCACCCAAGTGGATGCGGGCCCTGCGACGATTGCAACAGTGGCCACTGGAGCTACCGACGGGATGCGGCTCGGGACGGACGACATGGCCTTCCTCTACTCCAGCCAGAGCAGTGCGAGCAGACAGGCATGGGCGACAAGTGGGGCCTGCTGGGGACGACCTACGAGGACCTCCTCAGCAGGCGCCGCAACTTCGTCGGCGCAGATCACTACGAACGAAGGGGCCACCAGCAGCTCCTCACCTACGTCTGGGAGGCGCTGAAGACGCCCAACGTAGAGCAGGCCTCGATGGGGCAGAAGTGGGTCGAGGTGGCAGGGTGGCGAAGCCGGAGGCTGGGCCAGATCGTCGCGGCCTCGAGACAGCGGGGGGCGAGACCTTGCGCTGGGCTCGCCGCAACGCCAAGGGCATCCCCGACAAGGCTATCATCGCGCCGCTGCTGGAGCGGCCCCGCCCCGCCTGGAGCGACCGCCTCGAGCGCGAGGTCGACGGCGACGCGGGCGCCTGCGATGGCGACGCTGATGCGAGCGGCATCGGCGCAGACATGATCACCGCGCACCGCGTGGAGGTGGGCGACCTGAACCACCCCGAGAGTACCATTCGGACCCCTGCTGTCCATGGCGCAGGAGCCAGGCAGGACTGCCCGTTGGCGGGGGCGGAAGCGGCGGGGGAACGCCGCCCCCCGACGGGGCAGGGACGAACGCAGCACGCCATAAACTGGGCAAAGCTGGTGCATATTGTTGCTTGGGTAGACGTATCTACCTTCGCGGACCGGGGAGCTCACTGCATCGGGGGCGTGTCCGCGCTGATGGAAGTGGCGAGCGAGCGCGCCTGGCGTCGAGTCCGACAAGCGTCGGCGAAGGGCTGGCGCCGCTGGGTAGCCGAGCACAGCAGAGCAGGATCAGTGGCGTTGCGCGAGTGGACAAAAGCCGCCAGTTCAGTGGGGGCCGATGAAGCCGAGAGAGGCACGCGCGGCGATCGAGCTCCTGAGCCCGCAAGTGGCGGCAGACGCCGCGCTAGCGGGATGGGAGAAGGTGTGGGCGGACAGCTGCGATCCCGACGAGCCGTGGTGCCGTGCCCCGACCAACCAAGAGCTGAACGAGTGTGCGGTCCTGGGGGCCACCCCCAAGGAGGTCCTCGATGCGCGCGGGTGCTTCCAAGCCGACGAAGGCTTGGGAGAAGCGGACCGGCATCCACGCCCACGGCGGCATGGAGGCTACCCGGGAGCAGCGCGCGTCTCAAACGTGCTGAACGCAGTGGAGAAGGGCGCGCCTTGGCCGACTGCGCAGGCGACCATCTTCTTCCACCTCCTGGCGAAGCCTGCGGGGGGCTTCCGAAACCTGGGCCCCGTTCCTGAGCTGGCGCGCGCGTGGGGGGTCATCCGCATCCCATATTCGCGCCGCTGGGGGGCGCCAACGAGAGAGCCTGCGACTGGGCGCGCCGAGGGCGGTCCTCGGAGCGCGCTGCCTGGCTGCAGGCGCTGTGCTGCGAGGCGGCGCGCTCGGTCGGCCGCGAGTGCGCGGTGACCTACTTCGACCTCGTCAGGTGCGTCGTGTGGGGACTGCGAGACGGTGGGACATCAACCCCATCATCATGCGAGTCGTCGTGCGCAAATACAGCGTGGCGAGGCGCGTCGTCTTGGGCGGGGGCTACGCCGAGGGCAGGGCATGGCAGGTATGCGCAGGGGCAGGGATGCGCCCTCCGCTGCAAGATGGTGATCATCCTGGAGCTGGACAAGCTGGTCCTCAAGTTCCCACGGGCGGACACCTGCTTCTTCTTCGACGATCTCGCCGTGGCCGCGCGCGGCTTGCGCGAGTTTGTGAAGCACTTCCGCCCGCTGCTCGTCGTGGCGGTGACCCGCGTGTACGAGGAGAGACTGGACATGGCAGTCTCGCGCGGCTCGGAGGGTAAGACGGTCGCCTTGGCCTCTTCTACCGAGCTGAGCACCGGCCTAAACGCAAGACCCCGACGCCGGGGGGTACGAGTCGCCAGCCACGAGAAGCACCTCGGCGTCGCGGCAGCAGCGGGCAGGCGCAGGCGGGTGGCCCCCATCAGCAAGCAGGCGTTCAAGTTTGCAGAGGGGGCCTCGCGGGTGGCAGCCGTGAGGTCAGCCTGGGGAGCAGCGCGTAAGATCGTCCGCCCTCCTCTACGGATCGTCAGTCGTCGGCGTGGCGGACAGCGAGCTGAACGAGCTGAGGGCGAGCGTGGCAATGGCGATGCAGTGCAGTGCGATGGGCAGGTCTACGCCCCTCGCGCTGCTGAGCGACAGCGTGGGCCCAGGCAACCTGATCAACGGCGGGCCCATCCTAGCGTGGGCTTGCGCGTGGCAGGAGGCGACCCTCGACGAGCAGCTGGCGGACAGGCTGGCCGTGGCATGGAGAACGTGGGCTATGAAGGTCGCGCGGTGCAAGTCACTGTGGCTGACCGTGCGAGGGCCAGCTCGAGCTTGCAGTGCTGCGGTGCTGCGGATGGTCTGGATGGCGCAGTCCGCGCGCGCCATCGCCGTCGGCAGTGTAGTCTATGGCCTGCGGTATGCCAGATTGCAGGAACTGTGCCGCCTCGTCGTCACCGCCACCGATCAGCAGCTCAAGGACAGCTGGCTGTAGGGGCACGGGGGCGACTACGGCGCCATCTCCATCTTCCTAGCGCCAGTGCGGGCAGTGCTGCAGCGGCCGCTGAAAGGGCGGTGGGCGCAGGCGCGCCGCGAGCGAGTGCGAGTCCTGTTCTGTGGCGGCATGTGGCCGCGGGCGCGCCTCCACGCCGAGGGGGCATAGGCGGGCGACGTGCGCAGGGCGTGCGGGATGGCGAAGGGGGTGGGCCGCCATCGGACATTCGTCTGCTCCGCAAGGCAGCACATGCGAGAGCATGTAGGTGGGCGCCGCGTCGTGCAGAGGGGCGCCAACCCCTGGCCGGGGCGTGGGGCCGGGGGCTTATGGGGCCGCGGGATCACGGCGGACCCCGCAGAGGAGCTCAACATGTGGGCATAGTCGTGCGACGAGTGGCCCTGCGAGGGCGGCTGGCTGGGGCTCGCGACAGGAGACATCTGCGCAGGCGGCCTCCAGCAGTGCGGTGATTGCGCCCCGCTGCTGAGAGCAGGCTGGAGCTTCGCGAAGCTCCGAGAGGACAGTTGCGACATGGAGTGCGTGAGCTACGGGCCACTGCTTGGGCCGCGGTGGGCGCGGAATATTTTGCGGGCGGAGCTCTACGCGGTGCTGCAGGCGCTGAAGCATGGAGTGCCCCCGCGTCGGGTCCTCGCGGGCTGTCAGGGCGCAATCGTTGGCGCCCCCGAGGGCGCCGGCAGGCTCGACAAGAAGGGGCCTTCTGCACTTGGGCGAACGGGATGAGATTTTCAAGGCTCTGGGTGAGCTCGGCGGGCCGCGCCACGATGCGCAGGTCTGCGTGGTAAAAGCTCGCGCTTCGCGGGCGGAGAGAGAGAGAGAGAGAGAGAGAGAGAGAGAGAGAGAGAGAGAGAGAGAAAAGAGAGATAGAGAGAGAGAGAGAGAGCGAGAGAGAGAGAGAGAGAAAAACAAATTAACATCGGTCGCGCGAGGTGGGAGGGCAACGAACTAGCTGATCAATCTGCCAAGCAGGGGGCTCTGTATCAGCCCCCCCCCTCCTGGTGTAGAGAGGCTTCTATTGATAAGTGCAAGCTTGTTCGGGGCATCCTCGATGTCGGAGCTTACGTAGGTGTGCTAGGAAGCGACATTGTCGATGCTGAGAAGGGCTCGAGTCCGCCGACGGACTCGACCCCCCCCCGACCCCGCCCTGGAGCTCCTCGACCCCCCTGGGCCTCCTGGGACGGCTGGCGGCGCGTGGGGCCCCTCCCCCGCCCCTGATGGCCACCCCCTTCTGCGGGCCATACTGGACTGGGGGGCTGTCAGGGTCGACGGGGCTAGAGGAGCGGGTCACGAACTCGTGTTCCGCCAAGCGTATGTGTTCAGTCGTAGATGTGCCAGGTACGCCCGCGATAGATGGTGGGGCCTGTTTTACCCATGCCGCCCTGGGGCCCAGAGGATGATCGGGGGTAGGCTTGATCGTTTCTGGCAGGGTATGCATCCCACCATTGGAAAGCCCCTCTGAGGCTAGCCCTGAGAGGGCACGGCGTTCTGGCTCGGCTCGGGGGCGGCCCGATGCGGCCAGGCCGACCCGCGGCGCGATTCCATGGGGCATCGTGTTCGTTCGATCAGCAGAATCCGGCCGAATCCCCGCGCTTCTTCTTCCTCCTCCTCCTCCTCCTCCTCCTCCTGCTCCTCCTTTTTTTCCTCCCCCTCATCCTCCTCCCTCTCCTCCTCCCCCTCCTCCTCCTCCTCCTCCTCCTCCTCCTCCCCCTCCTCCTCCTCTTCTTTCAGGGCAATGCGGGGCGCCGCCGCGCGCAAGGCGGAAGAGAGGCGGCGCAGGGGCGCGGCTGCCCTCGCCCTTGCGAGCGCGCGAGCAGCGGGGGGCCGTCGCCCGTCGCAAGTCGGGCGCGCCCTTCTACAGGGGGAAGATTCAAGGATAGCCAAAAAATAGTCAACGGACGACTTTTCAATTTTTTTGGGCATGCTTCTGAGCATGTTTTTGTTTCCTTTCAAACTTTGGTGGATGATTTGTAAGTTTTCCCAAATCCGCGTGTAGGAGGACGTGCCCGACCTAAGCCTCGTCGCGCAGCAGGGCGGCACCACGCTCCGAACGGCACGTCGGAATCCAGCCGCAGAGACCGAAACAGACTTGGCAGAGTTTCCGGGGTCGCGAGCGCGGCGCGCAGTGTGCTGGTCACCGCGTCGCGGAGCGGGCAACACAGCTGGGGCCAGTAGCGCGATGCCGAGCAGTTGGACGCGCTGGGCAGCACACCGGGATCCAGCTGACGCTTCTCCGTCCCCTCTTCGTCCTCGCCGTCGTGCTTCTCCCACTTTCATCCCTGCTCGTCTCTTCTCGTCTCTTCTCTTGTCTTGTCTTCCCTTGTCTTATCTTCTCTTGTCTGTTATTATCTTCTCTTATATTATTTTCTCCCCTCTCTTTTCTTCTCTTCTCTTCTCATGTCTTCTCTTCTCTTCTCTTCTCTTTTCTTCTCTTCTCTTGTCGTCTCTTCTCTTCTCTTCTCTTCTCTTATCTTCTCTTCTCTTACCGTTTTTTCTCTTAGCACAACTTCTCTTCTATCATGATATCTTCTCTTCTCTTCTCTTCTCTTCTCTTCTCTTCTCTTCTCTTCTCTTCTATTATATTCTCTTCTCTTCTCTTTTCTTCTCTTCTTCGTGTCCGCTTTTACCATGTTGCATAGAAAGCTCGATGGTCTTCTCTTCTATCACAAGGTCCCGTAGCATTATTCTAGCATGTGGTCTTCTCCGATTTTCTCTATTTTTATTAATGTCTTCTCTTCTCCTGTCCATCTCCGTTGGGGAAGGTCTTGGACGATTCGAACAACGAGCCGTCCATCACAGGCAGAGCTTCCCACCACATTACGTGGCCAGCGGCCAGTTACGTTGGGGACTTCGTGAGGATTCATGAGATTTCCAAAGGAGCTAGAGAAGGGTGAGGTGACAAGGATGAGGATGAGGAGGGTGAGGGGAAGGAGGGGAGTAGGATGAGGATGAGGATGATGATGATGATGATGCTGATGATGAAGA